CAAGAATAAATCATATTGTCACAATCATTTCACTTCTCTTTTCCTATAGATGTCAGCCACACAATAATGAACTAAGCTGAGTCTAAAATTTGGAATAATTTGAATGAAGTCTGGTCCTCTAGGTGTCAGTGCAGCCAGACGAGGACTGAATGATATTTTGAATGAAGTCTGGTGCTACAGATGTCCCTGCGGCCTCACAGAATAAAGCCACGTCTAAAATCTGGAATATTTTTGAATGACGTCTGGTACAAAGGCGGAGTTTCCTTTTCTGAAACCACACACACACACACACACAGAATAAAACTGTTACACAAAAACCAACACACTGACTGACCTGACTCTCTCCTTTGGATCTCCGAAGGACTCTCGGAGTCGGGAGAAGTCGGGGTAGAAGTGGACGGACGGAGAGACGACCTCCAGCAGGCCCGACTGGATCTCTGCTGGAAAACTGAGGCAGAGACGGAGGGTCAGACAGACTGACGGACAGACATCTGTCACAGTCACGTCCACTTAACAGAGAAACATCGGAGGTAGAAAGAGGAAAGCAGGATGAGTCCAGCTTTCATCAGCATCCCAGCTGTTCACACACAGACACACACTTGTGCCTGTTGCCGTGGTAACAGCATCCCATCATGCACGTGGACTTACAGGCGCTTCAGGTTGTCTGCTACACTGCTGGCATACTGCTGGTCGGCCTGCAGACACACACAGAGAAGACAGTTTCAGGCTTTGACAAGACATCAAACGCACAAACACATTTCATTGTCTTCTGGCTGTTTTGTGTCTCTTTGTGGCTGCTTTATGTCTCTTTGCAATTTGTCTGTCGTTGTTTTGTGTCACTGTGAGGACAATCTGTGTGTTTTTGTGGTTTACTTTGGGTCTGTTTGTGGCTGTTTTGTGTCTTTCCGTGGCTGCGTTGCCTTTTTGCATTTGGTTTGTGTTTATTTGCAGTTTCTGCAGTCGTTTCATGTCTCTTTGTGGATATTTTCTGTATTTTTGTGGTTGTTTTACATTATTTTGTGGCTGTTGTGTCTCTCTGCAGTCAGTTTGTGTGTCTTTATTCATGTTTTGTGTCTCTTTGTTGTTGTTTTGTGTCTCCATGCCGACAGGTCTCTGTAGTCATTTGGTGTCTCTTTGCAGTTGTAATGTCTCTTTGTGTGTATTTCACATATTTGTCATCTCTGTAGTGTCTTTGCATCATTGCGTAGTCGTTTTGTGCGTCTCTCGGTCTCCGGGCTCATTGTGGAAACAGGTGGCAGTCAGTCATGTTTTCTCTCCTGCTGAACTGTGTTCATGCCAAAGAATTTGGTGTGTTTGGCTTCTTCTTAGCTTTCTTTGTTCATTACCGGCTGTGTGTTAAACCCACAATAACACACAGGGACATACACAATAACACACACAGGGACACACTGAGTCGATGAGTGTTCACACACACATGTGGCAGGCTGAGATCATCTACATATTTTGATGTCTTTCTGCCCAACGCGCTCTGTTTCCAACTTGAACAACAACTTGAGCAACTGATGACATCACAGCTCAGCCTCCCTCTCCAGCCAATCAGGGCTCAGATTGGCTCCCAGCAGGAGCCGACCGTTCGGCTGCGAAGGTCAGTGTCGGGTCGCACACGTGTTTGCAGCCGTTGCCTGTCAGCCTCAGCGCAGGGCTGCGGTTCATTTTGGCGCCCTGGAGGTGCCAGCCGGGTGGAGCTTAGCAGTAACGAAGAGCAGACGCCGTTTGAGCTTCTCGCGGTTTAGTGTCGAAAGCTAAACTCGCCAGGTTTCGAAAGCAAACACTCGCTAATATGAAACACATTAGAAAATAAAAAAGGAAAAAGAGAAAGATTGAAGCAGCAGCGACGCCTCACAGCTCTGACTTCAGACGCTGGCTTCTGCTTCAGATGTTTGTCAAACCACCGACTTCTGCATTTCACAGGTGTTGGGTTCAGGTGTGAAGCGAGACGCCCCGGAGTCAAAGCAGCAGCCTGGTTTACATCTGATTATGTCTCGTTGTGGCTGTATTTGGGTTCGTGGTCATTTTGTACCTCTTTAGGTTCATTTTGCATTTCTGGGTTTCATTTTAGGGACGTTTCAAGTCTTCTCACGTTCCTTTTGCGTTCCTTTTACGTTCCTTTTACGTTCCTTTTAAGTCTGTTTACGTGTTTGTTGTTTGACGTCAGTTTAGCTGTTTTCAGGCTCTCTGTTCTTGTTTTTTCTCTCTTTACAAACTTCTCGGAGCTAAAAACGTGCAGTACAAGCAGGATAAAGGAGACGGACACCGGATTGAAAACAGGATCTTTTGTGCACATTTACAACCAGACTGAGGTCAATAAAGCTCAGCTGATAATCATCTCATATGGTCACTGGAAACATCTTTATAAATACAACAGATTCACTCAGAGGACTGCAACATCTGCAAAGTTCTTGTCTTTTATTTGGTTTTAAAACATAATTTGAGCTGATCGGAGTTTAATATGTGGATGAAACCAGCTGTGAAGCTGCAGATGTTGTGTGAGCTGGTGCATCAGCAGGGGGCAACGCCGCCTCATGTGCTCCTCTCGCTGCAACACGCTTCAGTCATGTAATATTCATGCTACACGTCTCTCCACTTCAGGAGCTTTAAGTGCTTTCGTTCTTCATCTTCCACGTGACCAGTTAATTCCTCAAAGATCCGAACCGGAAACCTGAAGACGAGTCCAGTTTAATTTTGGAATCTGTCGGCGAGGAAATCAGAACGGAGAGGAAGTCGTGTTGGAGAGATAAAAACAAAAACCCGGGAGGATTTTAAATATTATATCAGCCTGGAGGAGGAACGGGAAAAAAAGAAGATATCAGGCTGACAAACGGAGAGACTGAGTGAAACAGCAGAGAAGGAAGACGTCAGAGGAGGAAATGTGTAAAATCACCAAAAAGACTGCAGAGAAGCATCAGAGAGTCTTCAGCAGCAAAGTTCACACATTTAAACCGTCAGCAGACACGAGCTGGAGTCACACATCCGCTGCTTCGTCTCTCTTTACTGGTTTTATCTTTAGTTTTCTGTCCCTTTATGGTAGTTTTGTTTGTGTTTTGTTTTTTAGCCTTTTTCTACTGAATTTGCTTCTGTTTCGTTTGTTTTACTTCTCTTGTTGTTTAATGTTTATGTGTTTTTTAAAAAGTATCTGTTTATGTTTATGTCTGTTTTTTGTTTTTTTTTACATCTGTTTTTGTTTCTTTTACGTCTGTTTGTTGTTGTTTTATCTGTTTATGTTTGTTTTATGACAGTTTTTATTTATTTTATATCTGTTTTTGTTTCTTTTATGTCTGTTTGTTGTTTATGTTTGTTTCACTTCTCTTTATTGTTCTATGTCTCCCTATATTCATTTCTTGCCTGTTTGTGTTTGTTGTGGGGTCTCTGCAGTGTTTTTCAATGTTTATTTTACGTCTGTTTGGTTTTGTTTCTCTTTGTTATCATACATCTGTGTGTCATGGTTCTAGTATAATCCATATGTGTACGTTGATGAATTACATAAAGTGATTAAGTTAATGCTGATCCTTTTTTTTTCGCTGGTTGTCATTACAAACAGATAATATAAATGATCAAATCAAATGTTTTCTTGGGATCAAATTTCCCGCTATATCACCCATCTCTAGTTTTACGCTACAATAGCTGCAGGCGTCT